ATTTTATGAAAAACTACCTTGCTGGTCGGAATACCAGAACGTGATTGGTTGTTTCGATCGTTGCTAGGATGACTTTAAAATCCATTCCTGTCAATGGGATGTAATTTGATTTTGTTGTTGTTTTGTTGAAATATAGGTATATAAAAAGGCTCAGTTGCAATTATATTAACTTGCAGGATGTCAGCATCTACAACTACGTTCATTTTTCAACCTAATTCATTTTTACGCTTTACTTTGCCTCAATTTCAAACCTTCTGAATTCCTGAAACACCACATGAAAGTGCATTGCACATGATCTTCAATGTTATACATTATGGGGTTTAGACTTCAACCTCATATCACGTAAGTCAAACATGATACTGTGTTCATATGATATAGCGTGACTATCATCCAAGGTCTTCAGTTAGCATCCACTTTCTTTCTGACTGGCTGACTCCACACGTCAAGGCTTCTCATTAGACCTTCCTGGAAGCCTGTCTCTAATTAGTACTAAGTAGTAATGTATTCTGATGTTAACGGGGATTTAATCTTCAATTTAGCATTAGGAAAGTGTGAACCATTGAACTTCGAACCAACTGCTGAATAGTTAACGCATTCGTCATGAAACCTAAAGGTGCTGAGTTAGTTCTCTGGTGACTAGAGTCATGCGTGCGTACTGCTGAGGAGTTGCACACTGGAATGAAATAGTTGTCCAGTGCTCCCAGCTAATCAGTGTTTTCCTAACTTATATCAATCCATGATGAATACTACTTTATTAATAATTTCTACCTACAGCAAAGCTAATAGCCTCCATCATTCGGTTACTTAACACAAAGGCTGTAACCAGTTACAAATGTCATTATCATGCTTAGGTTTTCAAGGATGATAAGAAATCTATGAGTCTCATTTTGATAGGATGCATATTGCTTATCACAATCCAACTAATCACAGACAATGATTGATGAAAGCCAATCTGAAATAAAATTATTGAAACAAAAAACAGTGTTGGTAGATATCCTTTCTCTTGTTACAGTTATTTGTCTTTTGATTCTTCACATATTACTGAACACATAAAGGATGCTTAGCTCTGAAAGAAGGCACACGTTATGAATACAAGTTAACTGATTCTTACGAAATTTCTCTACCAATATGTAGCTTTGTTATCACATGAACTGAAAGCTACAACTTCCGGACACGCCTCAACTTTTCAGAATAGTCCTTTTATTATATATATATAACAGTAGAAGGGTACAATTTACTGCTGATACTTCGAGTAAAATGTATTACTTATTGTCACATCATGGTAATCAAACAAGTTTGTGTGCACTCATGGCTGCGACTAAGCCCTTTTCTAAGTTGTTTATCTTTTTGAAGTTCGACATAATACGTTTAGTTAGGTTTCTATATTCTACCACTCTGGTTGGTTGCTTAAACCTGTGTTTTTCGCCTTACTATACATTGATTCATCACTGGAGAACAACCAACTTCATATTGACTAGACCTGAGTACTGACTGAATTTTATCGATCATTGTTGTATGTAACCGCAAAGGTAGGAGGTTGACCTTGGTGATACACTTTGATGAATATTAATTGAATGGACACGATCTGTAGGGAGATTCTGGAACTACGTTTCGTGCTTGTTGACACTCATTAACAGAGTGTATCTGCAACTTTGATGGGACTGATAACCTGCTGATGGTTAGTCTCCTACGTTGGCGGACACATTGGTTGCTCTCCAGTGACTAATCAATGTATCCGACTCAGTAATACAGGAAGTCAGCAGTGACCCAAACAGCACAGCGGTAACATCACTGACCACAACACTGGGTGATATAGGCTCGAGTCTCAGGTGGGACAACTGTTAAGGTTGCAAATACGTCTTATTGAAGAGAGCAAAAAAGCAAGAAACCTGGATCTAGCACGTTCTCATGTTGACTGCCCCCAACCAGCTAACACGACCTTACTATCAATTCGCAGGAATCAGTTAACTATTTAATAAAATTCAGTATTGTTATGTTGTTTTATCAGTGCATGCACAATCCATATCCACTCTCTTCTTCTGCATATTTGTTCGGTGATGGGTTCTCGGTTGGTTCGTTACCAGCCAGCTAACCAGAGTTCCATGTTGCCTATTCCTTCTGACCATCTGATCGATGATAAGTATTGAGTGAGGGTAGGTGGTAGCTTTGGATGAGAGTCTGTAGTTGGTTGGAAGTGCTTTCGTGACACGCAGACTTTGTGAACCATATAGAAGCACGGACTTACTTGACTGAATTAGTGTTGAAAATCCGAATGTTGTTCACACTTTATGCTGAGTGTAGTAGATCTCCATACTGATCTCAGATTAGTGAAAGCCAGTCTTGCTGTCTTTCTGATCCTGGATTTGACATCCTCCTCATGTATGCCTTTGTTGCCTGTAGTTGAAACGATGGTGCCTTGCCTGGGTAGGTGAGTAGGTGAAAGAGACTACTTCCTTTATGTTTCTCTCATGGTGATGATTGGTGCTTGTTGTTGATGCTGTTGTTGGTTGGGTATCTTCATCACCTCTGTCTTCACTACGTTCACTTGAGTGAACTCCCGTCTTCGCTACCCAGACTCTTCTGTGAACTTGTTGGTTTTCGCCTGTAGATCCTCAAGATTGTGCGGTATTAGACACAAATCATCAGTGAAATCCAAATTACCTAGGGTATTTTCATCGGTCCATCCAGCGTATATCCATCTTCTCACTCTTCATAGTTGTTTGTTTCATGATCCAGTCTGCCAGACCACAGTCGGGAAGATCATTGATGATAGTAGGTGGTAGCACAGTCTTACTCCTCTCTTCACTTCACTTCGAAGGCCTCACTGAGCTTTCCATTGTAAATCACTTAGCATGTAGCATCATCATCATCACATAGCTGTTGAATTACTTGTCGGTCGATGCTGTCGGGTGCCTTTTCAAAGTCGATTAATTTGAGCTGAATGCCATTCTGTACTATGTTCTATGATGAAGCGTAGAGTGGCGTTGCAATTTGGTCCGCACATGATTTGTTCTTCCTGAAGCCAGTCAGCCTGTCGCGGTCGTAATTTTGAATGCAGAGCATGTTTTAGTCTCCCCAGGATGATGTGGCCTAATATTCTGCTTGGAGTGGACAGGAGTGGATCAGGATTCCGCACCAGGTCTTGAAAAGACTTAGGTCGCCCTTCTTTGGGAGTTTGACAAGGTAGCCCTTCTTCCAATCTGCAGTTACCTTTCCTATCTTCCTTCCTTCCTCACAAACCTTCTGCAATAGTGGTGTGAGCATGTCTGCTTTTGTCTCTGTGTCTCTTTTCAGTGCTTCTGGTGGACTTCCATCTGGTCCTGCTGCTTTCCTGGATTTCAGTAATTTTATGGCGTTCAGGACTTCAGTTGTGGTTTTGTCGGAGGGCTTGTGTTCACTGGTATTTCTGCGGTTGCTGGTGGTATTTCTGGACGAGTTGCAGTTAGGGGTGGCGGTGGTGGACTCAAGATTTTTTCGAAGTGATCACCCCATCGTTTCCTTTGTTTCTCCTCTTTGCTAACTAGATTTCCTCCGTTATGTTTCATTGGTTTCGTCTGTGTTGATCTGTTACCAGATAGTATTTTCGTAACTTGATATAGTGTTGTCAGGTCTCACCTACCTGCAGTCTGTTCTACTTCACTTGTGAATGTGTTGTAGAAGTATCTTTTGTCTTTTTCCACACTCTTCTTCACCTCTTTCCCCAGTGTAGTGTTTTATGTGTTGTATTCAGTACCTCTTTTCGTTGTTCATCCCTGCACTCCACTGCACTGATTCATCTTCTGCTTCACCATCTTCCTCTTCCTGGTCTATCAGCTTCCATGTATCCGCTGAGATCCATTCCTTGTCTTCTTTCTTCTTTGTTCCTAGAAAGGTTATGCAGGTTTCTTTCCACATAGCTTTCAAAGAGTTTCAGTTTTCTTCCATACAGGTTTCTTCACCGATGTTGCTTAATGTCTCCCATTTTGTCCTGACGACTGATCACGTAAAGATTTCCTTTGTAGTTTCATCCTTCAGTTTCTGGGTGTCAAACTTGAACTATGTTCTATCAACAACTTCTGTGAAGGCATTCAACTTGATTTTGAAAGTAAGTTACTTGCACCAGATAGTGAATGGTGTAAACCACTCGCATCTGCTCCCCTTCTTGATCTGGTCTTGTATCCAGTAGGCTGCATCTCCACTTTCTTCACATTGAGATGAAGTCGATTCGATCTGTAGTGTATCATGGTGTCTGGTGAAATCCATGTCACTTTGTGAATATTTTTGTGTTTCTACACACAGAGGTGATAAAGATATTCAACCAACAAAACCAACAACAACAACAAACGCCAATAACCATCAACCGGAGAAACTCAAAGGAAGTGGCCTCCTTCACCTATCTAGGAAGCACTGTTTCAACTACAGGCGGCACAGACGAGGAAGTCAAAGCCAACCACTATCAGAAAGACAGCAAAACAGGCCTTCATTAGCTTGAAAACAGTGTGGAGATCCACTTCGCTCGGCATGTGGAACAACATCCGGATTTTCAACACCAACACCAACGTCAAGTCAGTGCTTCTATGTGATGGTTGAGAGAGTTGGCGTGTCACGAAAAGGATTTCCTTCAAACTACAGATATTCATCAAAAACTGCCTACGCTAGCCCGTTACTGAAGATCAGATGGCCAGAAAGAATGAGCAACAAGGAACTCTGGCAACGAACCAACCAAGAACCTGTCACTCAACAAATATGCATAGGAAGGAAGTATAGATGGATTGGGCATACACTGAGAAGGCCGACTGTGGACATCACTTGCCAGGCCAGGTACTCTAGTGGAACCCAAATGGGAAGCGATGAGTTGGGTGTTTGAGGTGAGGATGACATGGAGGAGATGGTATGAGGAGGAAATGAGAGGTTGTGGGCAGTGGTGGAGCCAGGTTCAAAAGCTTGCTACTGAAGCCCTATGTTCCATTAGGAACTCAAGGGATAAATAAATAATAATGAAATCGTGTAATACTACTCACCTGAATCCACAAATCATAGGCAGTTTTAATTGTAGGTAACTGCCAATCTCTTGGAGTTTCATCTACAGTAGAGATTAATTCATCCCATGTTGCATCTAAACGATAGTTTAATATTCTAGGAAGTTTTATTTCCTTCACGTTTTGTTGTTGTAATAAAAGTGAAAGATTTTTTACAGTCTGTTGGCTAATATTAACCCATGTATAATAATCTAACTGTTTTGAGGTTGATTTGTCATATGTTAGACATTGTTCAGAATACGTTGTTGTTGTCAACGTCGTCGTCGTTACAGTATGATCAATATTCGTTTTAAAATTTGAACTGAAATCAATTGATAGTTGATCATTTATATTATTCTTTAAATCAATATTTTGTGAATATGATTTTAATCCTTTGAACTCTGATAAATCATGTTGATTACTGTCAACTTCAAATGTGATATGATGGTTATTTCCATTAATTTCCTGCTTTAATGGTTTAATTTGGTCAAAAAAGTAATAATTAGAATTTTCTTCAGTAATCATGTTTCATTTTAATAACTATTTTGGTTACTAAAGCTGAAATACTCTATTTATGCTTAAATTATCATTTCTATTCGTATCGACTCTATAAAATGTACAAGGTCACTCACCTTATTGACACTTTGTGTCTATCTTATCAACCTTAATCGATGATAAACAAGTGCACTTACCTTTCGACCAAGGTTAAATATCTAAATGAAATATGATTGGTTGTTTAAAGGTGTAAAAGTGTACGTATGAATAAAACTGTATTGATGCAAATAATAGTTGAGGAAACCAACGATAATATGTAGGAGATTATACGTCTACATATTGAGAGTAATTTACTACCTTGTTGAAAAAAATCATAGGAAAAGAAGATGGTTACCTTAGGTTTGATGTCCTATACTTTGTACCTAGTTGGAAAGATGTTTGGTGACAGAGAAGATACGTTATTCTGAACAAGGGTTTCATTCATTAGGGTTGCTTTCCTTCGAAATGAACTATTTACTGTTCTTAATAGTGTACATCGTTAGTGAGGTGAGACTTTTCGCAACATATTTTTCGAAGTATTACCTCCCTGGCTTGATGATTTGTCCTGCTGTTACTAGTCTTAACTTCGATTCGAGTTTCCTATTGGCTCCTATGATTAATGAACTGAGGGAAATGTCTATCACTGGTCCTAATCATTATTATTCCCTGTCACTTCTAGCCTTTATGACTTGTATCCTGTAGAGATTCTCTTGACATTGTCACTGACAGTGTAACCAAACACTCAATCTACTCATAAATCCTGGAGTCAAACACACCTAACTTATTGAGAACGCAGGATTATTTGAACAAATAAAAATCTAATTTCAAGTTGTCTAGGTATTTAAGAAGTGCTTCAGTGGACTAAATTGATTGCTCAGTGACTTACAAAAGTAGAAGGACAGTTGGAAATGAAGTACATGAGTTCAGTCTAAGGTTGGTGGAACAGAGTGACACTTCTAAAACAAACTGAAGATGGCATGAATGTTACGTAGCGACAAGAAAGCAGCCAATAGGGGAGTTTTCAAGTCGTGATCAGATCATGTCCAGGTCATGATTTATGCATGGGCTGACATGAGAACCTGATTGGAGGAATTCGACCTCATACAAGAAATCTGATTGGTCCATTTGTGGCTTCACTTTTTGAGAGTTTTGTAACTTCACATATATCATGTATTTGTCTGATAAAAGTTGTTGTCACTGTTCTTGCAGTCACAGGCCGTCTTTGTCTTCTGATTTCTCCGTGGCTCAGTGAAGCAGAAGGTACAGAGGGAGGTATTCGGTTGAGGTGTCTATTGAATTCTCAGTACTCATTACACCCACACGCGCAACCCCACCACTCGGTCACAACAATGAAGCAATAAAGGAAAAACGCAGAACGATAATACCATGAAATTTTCTGGTGATGCGAAGATTTAACCTGAAGAAGCATTTCAAGGAAAAAGCGGGTAAACGTTTTATACTACTTATATTGAGTGCAAGTAGTATAAAAAGCACCAAAAAAGTGGATACGAAACAATCTGATTTTTTTAAGAGAAAACAGATTTTGACTTCTAAGTGCTTCTAAATAAAATTCTTGAAGCTCAGCTTGGTGGTTGTTCTCCTCATTTGGAATAACAGAAACAACTTGAAGTGTACTTCTGACCATCTGTTCATATGGAAGCAAAACAATAGGGGTGATGCAGAGACAGAAAAGATTAAGTCATGACTGTGATTAAATTTCAGTCTTTTGAATTTAATCAACAAAATAATTATTATCAATTTGTTATAAACTTCAAACAGTGGACAGAGGGTGTCCTCATTAGGTGGTGATTGCTACAGTGAACCTAGTGACATCTTCAGACATTAGTCAACTGTGATTTACTTGGTATCAGTTAGCGAGGTCAACGAGTGACTTAAAAGTTCTCCCTAGCAAATACAGAAATACCGAAACTAAGTTTCTTTCCTTAACCTCAAAATGTAGTTTTTCACGAAATGAAGAGCCCCAACTGTTCATACGTTAGCAAAATATGACACGAACTAGGCCTTCTAGTTTGTAGACAAAGTAAAACAACACTTAAGTGGACTACTACTGCGTATGACTAGTCATCGATTGCCTCGTCACACAATGTTGGCCGAAGTAGGTTCAGGCTGGAGAATGGACCGAGGTGGCCAGACTAAAACATGGCACCAATGTATGAAGTCTCTGACTGTTGGTTTAAGCGATGTCGGGGGAGGGGGGATGCAGACTAGGTGGTTGGGGTCAGTGGGACAAGAGGAACTAGTGGTTGGAGACTGACTCTAGGTGATGGCATGGCTGAGGACCGATGTGAGTGGCGCAGATGTATTCCCATACACATTATCGTCATCTTAACTACGCTATACTAAATCTCACCATTTTGTCATTCCTCTTTTCTTTCTTCTCGTACTCAATATTTCTTCTGACTGCTTTCGCTTATCTTCATGTTGCACCTCACTACCATTTTACTTGATGTAGTGATATGAGATGAGGTGTGGCAACTCGGACTGTTACTCATTAATGTCTGGTCCTATGTTGATATTGATGATTGATGATGATAAGTGGAATAGACAAATGCATGGGATCCGTAGATAACACATCTCTGTTGACTATCGCCCCTGTAACGGAAACCATGGCTTACATTTATGAACACTTATTAAACAGGAAATTAGGTACTGGCATTTCTACTGAAAATTTGAAGGAACTATTGTTAAAATCTACAGTGAATGTCCAATTCATCTTTTACAGTTATCTGTGCAAAAAAGTTGGCGGCATGGCTATGGGATCTCCATCATTTCCTATATTTTGAAGACACATTTCTGGTAAAATTGGAAAATAGTAATGTGAAAGGTCAAATTATCAATATGAAGTTGGGCTACTGATATACGCATGATAACATTTTAGTTCTTGATAGATGTATATGTATTGTTTCTATTCTGAACAATTTCAACAGCGCTCATCCATGAGCTTATTTTCTATGAGAAAATGAAATCACTGGTTAGATGTACTTTCTTGATGTGTTAATGACAAGAAAAGAAGACGCTTTATACTGAGAAGTTCTATCCTTTAGCATCTAGTAAATACAGGGTATCCTATGAATACTAATAAATCATTCACTGTTGTACATCGTGTGCTAAAAACAACGCCTGTTTAATATACCTTAGGCTGTCTCAATAAGACTGATCAAACGTGGATTTCCCATTCAGAAAGAACATTCATATGTTACTCCTCTTTTGGCCATCAGTAAACAAAAAGCTACTCCCATCTTTCTCATTATTATCTTTCTTTTCACCATCATATTCTTGGTCTGCATACATATATCATTCCAAATATTTACAAATCTAAAGGGGAAAATCGACTTCCTTACAGTCCTCAACTCTTATTCCTTTCTGACTTGTTTTCATTCTGTAAAATTTTATGATTGTAGGACTTGACGAGTGATTTATTGAAAAGAATATTCTTCGATAAGATTGTTGCTATTTATTAGTGTGATGGGGATCTTAAAATATTTGAAATCTTAGTAGTTGTTTGGGTGACTTTTATAGTTAATCGAGGTCAAGCTTTAAAGAAAGTCAGCAATGGTGTCTTTATACGCTAGCTAATGAGAGTAGTATGATTTCAGTGATTTCAGTGTTAGTATTTTTAAACATGAGCGAGGAAGAAATGAGAGCTTCTGGGCTGTCGTGGAGGCAGGTTCAAAAGATGTCAGAGAACAGGGCCTTTCCGTTCATTTACAATTTTTCGGAACTTTTGGTAAAAACGGTAGCTACTTCAAAGGCTTTTTAAAGATAACCAATTCAATCTGGAGATTTATTTATTGACTTCAGATGGGAATTCACCATGAAATGACACCAGTTGGAGGAGCACTGAATATCTGTTTCGTCCTAGTAGTGAACTCCTCGGCCGCACACAGCCATGATCCCACCCCTTCAGGAATCGAACTCAGGACCTTCATGTTCCGCAGGCAACACTTTATTTTTGAGCCACTGAGTGGGAATTCAACGGTCACGCTTTATCGTGTACTGACAGAAGTACGAAGTATGGACCATTTTATTCCGATCCAATGACTTAATGGTAACGTGTTGGCTGCGGAACCTGAACGTCGTGAGTTCAATCCCTGGAAGGGAGTGGTCATGGGTGAGCACTGCTGAGGAGCTTAATACTAGGGCGAAACAGCTTTTCAGCGCTCCCACGTTTCTACTGTTTCTCCAACTGGTGTCAGTCCATAATGGATGTTTGATCAAAACGTTACGTGAACTGGCTTACCTTAAGAAGGAAAGTCTATTTCAGAAGATTTGTACGCATCTTTTAATGTAAGTTACACATTTCCCAGACAGTTTTATATGACTTTGAGATCGAATAAATCACAAACCTTAAATTTTGGTAGTTTATTAGGTCCTCCAGTCAACTTTTATTTCCAACAATACAGTTTTTAACTGTATCGTTTATTGTCAATGGTTACCAACCTATACAGAATTCACATTCTACCACTAGACGTCTCTATGCCCGATAATTCGGAAGTACTAGTCAAGTACATTGGACTGTTACTTGAGATTTAGTAGGTATATACCCTTCCGAGGCAGTTCTCAACACTGATTGGAATTATGTATAAGACAATGGTGAACTAGTGAATGTTCTATAGCTGTGCCTTTCTATCCGGTCTCTAGACTTGGTCATATCAGTCCGTAAAACATAGAAAGGTTGAATAAACCAGTCCGGAAACCAACCAATCAAAATGTACTTTGTGTTAATTACTTGTACAGTTAGACTGGCAGACAATCAATCAACACTGCTATTTTTTAAACGCCTTCTTATATATTTTGATATATTCTCTTTTCAATGATTACTTTTGATTTTCGTTCTGAATACATGTTTTTATTCTTATCAGTGTGTCTTATCCGTTAATCAGTTGAGTTAAGAATTAACTGGGAAGTTGTAGAACGTTGGTGACTGATGGTCTATATGTGTGGATCGATAGCACCTATACCAGTTTGAAGTTATAATAGATCCTCCCGTCATGATTACGATATTTGTTTACTTCCTTTCTCTGTTTCTCAGTCATTAAATCGTCAATATATTTCAAGTGCATTTTAACTCGACTTCTTATTTTCATTGGCACATGTATACGGTATTATAGTAAAATATTTTACATTTAAACTTTGAGCCTGATGAGGCTGTGACGAAAATGTGTGTACGTTTAATTCTTCTGTAACATTGCCTTCAATCGACATTTTCTTGTTATATACCGCATAAACAGCAAAGAAGATTTACAACACACAGAGATGCCGTCGACAAATGGATCCAAGGAGCAATTTTTTCAAAAGCATATATTACAAGAAAGTTTCCTGTTGCGTGAATTGATGAAGTTACAATCTGTGAATTAGGAAAATATTTGCCAGATGAATAGTGAAAACAAAATGATAAGTCACTGAATTACAAGACAATGGAAATGACTTGTCAGTTGGTTGTACCTGCACTCCAATGAGTGATGTTGTTCTCATTGAGGCTTGAACCCATTATCCTTGGCTTTAAAAGCTAGAGCGTCACCCACTAGGCCCCTATAGCATGATACCCACCTCTTGTGCAACGGGTTTAAGTGGTTGTTACGATACTTGCAATTTCCCGCTAATATATAGGGCTGAATTGCTCGACTTCTACTGGTAGATGGGCTCTTATGCGAATGCCTCGATACTGCCAGTGTTTGAAGCGAATGGTACTGGGTTCAGACTTCGGTGGGAACAACATCACTGACTGTGCTGCAAGTACATCTAGCTAACGAGTCCCAAATAGGATAAAACGCGCATACTAGATTTTCTCTCCTAGTCATCAAGATCAATATAACATCATGAATATCCATCAGTACCAAGACGTCTGCATTGGAGTAATTCAGCCCTGGATAAAAATGGGAAGATACAACTATCATTACAACGCTAGTGTATTTATTCTAACTAAAAGTCCATATAAGTCTTAAAAAATAGCATTATTTACCCGGTCTATTCAAGATTGCAGTTTACCACCGAAAGTCATTCCTACAATAGGAAGTATAAGACAGTGTTATGATTTTCACATCTTGTATAGTTCCATGTATATTAGTCGTTTTCCATGTTAAAAATAACTGCGCCTGCCAAATACACAGATCTAACCTGGTATCTCGTACTAACGGCGGATATTAAACCTTCTCCATCAGAGCGGCATACTTTAATGGTCTTTGGCGTCTTCATTTTTGTAAGTGACTACTTTGATCACCTAGTTTTGACTTTTAATAGTAATGCTTGTAAATATTTAAAACATTTTCTTGACATAACAACCGGTTTCTCAGAGGTACCCAGTATCTAAATAACATTGAGGATCATTGATTATCATGTATATTGTTGGTAGTTTTCGAGTCACCAGTGTGTGTTCATACCCTTATTTCATCTTTCAGGTTATCTTCTTCATGTATTACATTCACTGCTGGATTGCATCATTCATTATGGTTTCCTGAAGTCTTGTTGTCTTTCACCGAGTCTTCAGGTGACCACAGACCATCCTTAAGGTTTTTTTTTAAGATAATAGGAATTTCATTGGCATTTTTGTCAAATACATTTGGTGAAATTGGAAAACCTTGTGTGGCATGAAACTACTTAATGCTATTCATTTAGTTTATGATTTTTTTCCTTAGAGTTTTTACTTACTGAGGTCAATGAAATCAGGAGTAGGGTAGGTATAGTGGACTAAGCATTAAGCGTAACGAGAATAGTTCAAGTCAGACTAACCGAGATGTCACAAGAAAAAGAATGTCAAATAGAATGACTAAACAAAGAACATTTCACAGTTATTGAATATCAAAGTTATTTTAACTGTCGGTTGCTTGAATTCCACTAATTTCAATGAGATTGCCTGTAAAATCGCTTGACGAACACTTCAAACTAACTAACATCTACTAATGTGCAACGCGATGCTGAGCTTCCTAGCCTGGTTGCTACATTGCAAATATGATCGGTAGAATTTGGTCTGCACTCAGGACTAGACAACATGAAATTGGTGGCACTCCCGTGATCACTCATTACATGTAAGCCAGTCCTACAGGAGGTCAATAGCGGTCGAAATGGCTCAGTGGTAAAGTCTCTGAATACAACACTGGGTGACGTGGGGTCGGATCTCAGGCGAAACATCAGTCCCGTTCAGATTGCATATACGTCTTGATGACGAGATATTTGTCTGTATCAGGATTGGCTGAGAAAATTTGACACACTTTCTTCAAGTCTTGTACACCTGGCGCTTGTCTTGGATTTCGGTTTCCTATCAAAGAGCTATTGAAATATTTTGTCCACAGACTTTCGTGTTTTGGCCTTTTCAATAAGCGTTGTTGTTAGTCGAATTACTAGCAACGGGTACTGAACCTATCTGTATACACGAATGGAAGGCATTTTCTCACATCATGGGTCTATTAATGCCGATAATGACACTGACGGGTTAAACACCAAGGGTTTTTCTGACTTTATTTCATACAGTTCTTCCCTTTCATGATATTGAATGAAGTAAGGAGAACAACAGTAGTTGAATTAGTGCGCATGTATATATCTTGCGGATTCTTCTCAGCTGGTTTACAACCTATAGAATATAATCTTTATGATAGGAAAACAAGGTATATAGCTTAACTGTCAAGAATATTTTGATTGAGATGAACGATAACGAAGATGCCAACTAACTGAAATTGGTGAAATTTGATGGGCCTTGTAGCTCAGTTGGCGGAGTGCCGAGCCGCAAACTCGGAGGAGTATGGTTGGAATCCCGCTGTGGCCCAGATTTAAGTTTAACCTTGAATCACTACTCAGTAACAATACAAGTTCACTAAACCATGGTTACTTTAGATAGTCAAACTGAAAATAAACAAACATAATTGGTCTTCACGGTCACTTATACTTTTGCTGGAGGACGAATATGTAACAGAAATTATTTAAGATCTTTAGTACACAATGGACTTTTGGTGTTTTTTGTCTAATATAGATATTTTGACGTTTGTAGTCCTCTGAAAAGTTAACGGTCTATTCAAAACCAGTCTGAGTGGAACCGAAACAAAAACCAGCAAATATCTAGAGACTTTTATATTTCACCATGCGTTAGATTAATTTAGCAGAGGGATATTGTGTATTTGTCGAGGCCTTAATGGTCTGAAAAGTTGACCCACAGAAATGAAATCTATACTACTTTAAGAAACGCTAAGATGTAATGTCAAAACTTCATTTCTACTTTTTATAACCAGGAATTTTAAACGTTTGACAAACATCAATGAAAGTGATCAGAAGTGATCAACAGCTGGACAATCTTAACACATGATGACCGTTAAGATAACGTAAAGCCAAGCAAGTCAGCAATGTAACCTGAGTTACTCAACCTAGAGAGGTGATTCGTCAAGTCAGACTAGTTTTGGTCATCTACTTGACTGAGCTTGCAATACTCGAAGCCCAAGTATTTGCTAGGACATATTCTTATTCGCTGTAGCCTACAGTGTATATAAAAGTAGCAGTTTACATGTGGTCGCCATTTCTACCTTTGTATATTGTGCGAAGCTGCAGTGAACAATAAGAATTCTAAGGTTATACTTTTCAACTAAAGCTTGGGTTCGTTTAATATGGTGAGTAAACAGAGTTGAGTTCATTGCAGAACACTGGATTGTGAGCCTCTAAAAATCTATGAAAAATACAGATGGAATAACAAAAAGACTTTGAACAATCTGTACAACACCAAATTGTACATTTGACATATATCTGCTATAACAGAGGTCACGAAAAATGAGTGCTTGATTTTAGTGAAAAAATCTGCAGTAAACACCACTTTCTTAAGTGCAGTATTGCTCGTTGAATGTCCATACAGACGTGAACACATTTCTTACTCCAGTTTCGGCCAATAGGAACAGCATATTTGCCAATCGATCTTTCTAGGTACAGATTTCACAAAAACCAATCAATAGCATCGGTGGACAAGGTCATAGTTGGCGGTCATTCAACTGTTAGCCAGCCACTGACATGACAAGCTTGTTTCGAAAAGGAACAATTTCCAAGGTAACTTGATAAGCTATATGCATTTATACTACCAGTTTTTGAATTGTGTTGTACAACTTTGTAATTGTTACCATTTTTCCAAATTAATCGGTCATGATATGCTTCTAGAAGCGTAATGTCTCAGGACATAGAGTAAAGTTCACAGTAGCTATTGCTACTAGGGTTAACCTTAGTATTTGACATTGCTGTATAAAACTAATCTCGCTTAGAAACCGGGAACACGTATAGTGATACCTTAGGGTGCCACTAGTGAGTTTTGAGTAGTGTGTTATGACGCAAATAGCAAACATCTACAAATGGACTACTTAACAACGTTTTTTGATAACTCTGGTGTTCTCCTAATAAAATATTGGTTCTGAGATCAAGGGTTTCAAAATGTCAGCCAAGCTGTACTCAGAAATGCTAACTCTAACGTTTCGGGTGTTTTAAGCATTTAGGACGAGTATATATACCCATCCTAAATGCGTATATAACATCCCATAATGGGCTTGCAGAAATCAATATACTCACTATATGCATCAACAGATCGTCGAGTGTCAAGCGACTGCAACAGCTCCTGGAGACCCGACTTCAGTCAGTCAATATCAGCGTGAGACCTGGTATTACTGTTTAACGGTCCAAGTTGCCACTGTTTGTCAGTGGCACATTCTGAAAGCTATGTGCAGCTAATTCTCCATTTTCATGACCTCTTGTAGATTTCTCTCTGAAACCTTCAAAAACCGTGTTGTAAAGTTCGTGAACGATGGTTTCTTGAGTTCTGCATCTGTCGTATTGAAGTATGTTCATGGTTTGGAATGGTTACAGTTGTCTTCCTGGCTCTGAGGAACCTTAAAGGACAAAGATAGTCGGTTATTAATTAATCTGGTCTGAATAGGTAGTGCTACTCCTCCTGATCTGTAGATGATGGAAAGGTTGTTGCGTATAACCCATGGGTACCACAAGAATATAGATGTGCATCTAACCTTTTAAAAGTATCTGGGGATATGGCTGTAACAACTTCTGAAGGAAGGGAGTTCCACAGTTAACAATCTGCAACTGAAAATGAGTTAGCATGGATCTTCGTACGTGCTCCCTCATGCTCTATTCCTAACTGTTAGCGTTTCTGATTAAAGCTAAAAGGAATCTGTTAGTATGAAGGGGATTATGGTCGATATGATACATCATGATCATATCCTCTCTGATCCTCTGGTATTGTACTGGATTGGGCTTAAGAGCAACTAACCGACCCATTTAAGGTTTGCACCATAACCCAATCACTTTCTTCGTAGCTCTTCTCTGAACCCGTTCCAGGGTGGGTATGTCTTTCTTCAAGTATAGGGAGATCACGAGCAAACTTTCTTCAAGATAGGGACGAATATAGATTCCATACACGGGTGCAAAAGGCCGAAGTTAGACTCCCTAAAGTTCAGAAAAGGTACCCCAAGACTCCATAGATCTTGTTCGTTGCGAGGCGACTTGCAGGAACTCTCAGATCTTGTTCCGTGTTTGATTGAGACACTTATTTCACATAGTGGTCCTGGTATATCATTGATAAAAGCAAAAACTAGTAGTGGGCCCAGAACAGAACCCTGAGGCACACCACTCAGCATCAGGAACCAATTAGATAGAGGGAAGCCTACTCTGATTGAAAACCTAAGCCAAATTAGTAATTTTCCGTGTACACCCACAAGCTGAAGTTTCTTACACAGAATGTCATGATTTACCCCATCGAAGGCCCTAAAAAAGTCAAGTAAACCAATGTGAAAGGGCTTTTTCTGCTCAACCGAGAGATTCCAGCTATTTCAAGCTATCAACAAGTTGGTGTTACATGACTTTCCAGGTAAAAAACCAAGTTCACATTCATTTAAGATTGAATTCCTAAGTGAGTAATCATGAAATGAGTCATTTATTACTCTTTCTATGACCTTCGCAACTGAAGAGATCAGGGAGATTGGTCTTTAAAGATAATTAGTTTGTTTCAACCTATAGGGACGAAAGCCACTCGTTTCTAAGCAGAGGGTAACCTGCCTTTTAGAAACGAGAATCTGAATAGGTTTTCTGGTTGGTCTCGCAAAACATAACAAAAATAATGATAATAGTAGTAATAATAATAATAGCTTTATTCCGCATCATATTGACACTCTTGAGTGAATGGCACCAATTCCTAAGGGCTTATTCGGATTCAAGTTCTTTAAGACTCCCTTAGTTATAGTAGGTTCAAACTCTATATTACTTAACCTCTCTGTAACACAGGCGTCTGACATATCTAATGTTCACTTATACCTTCTGGGGATTTCAAAGCCCTTTTTGAATCTGTTTTCAATATTTAGATGCAATACTGTGTGCAGCCAATTCCCTAGCGCTGACTTATTTCGGCAAACAACTTTGTTGACGATCAAAATGCAAAATGACTCAGCTCACAGTGAGCCATAGTTTTTGTTCAGAAGAAAGAACAGTCCTGAATACACTCATTCTATCGGTAACTAGACGCAATTCGATCTCTGAGTTCAGACTGGAATAGTGTAGTGGAGAAACTGATGGCTATACAGTTAGTTGGTACTATTTAAAAACAGATTGTAATCCACACAAAACTCCAGAGTACGATCACTATTATCTGGCCTGGAAATGAGTCATCCTGACCAGCCACCGAAGGTGATTTTCCCAGGATCTAAGCCATGGATCCAAGTGCCCAGCTAGTACAAAGATATGTGTGAAACGCACTTATTTGGGGTTACTTAGTTGGTGATGGGATTCATTCTTAGTTTCTCACTGGTGTATAAGCAGAGACGGTGAACAAGCACTGTTTCTCCTGCCAGGTGCTCCTTGACTTAACTGAGGCTTCTAACCTAAAGGCACACAGACCGTTAGTAGAGATCCAGCTGAGTAGTTCAGTTTTTTTCTGGCTCCTGGTGATGTAACAGCAAGGTTTAGTACCGACACTACAGAGTTCATGGGTAACCTCACATTGAAAAAATATTTCAAGCTGACAAAAGGTAAAGTTATTCGAAGAGTTTCATTTGGAAGTTTCTCGTGGCTTTTTGCGATGCAGCATAAGTCAACCAAGGAGATTTCCCAAGCTGCTACAAAAGCTGTGTGTGATTCCATTTGCATCATATTTGGAGTACTGAAGATTGCAAGGTGAAACTGTACGCGTGGTTGCTTACAGATATCCCCTTCATGGATGAGTTTATGTTAATTGACTGTGGGACGCAAGAGGCTGTACTCGCTGTTGCTTGAAAAATAGGTCGGCTACAATATTTTTGGAAACACTCCACTCAGCGTTCCAAGCGTCCTCAAAATTCTTTTTCTCACCTACCATCTAATTCAAGTTTCCTCTCATTTACGCCGGACTTCTATCTGTTAGTAGCTCAGTTAAGTTGGGGCGGGTTTCGACTACTACCATCTCACAGGTTCTGACTACCCGTTCTCGTGGTATTTACGGAAATGAGGTTTAACCTGTCGCTCAAAATACTTACGCATACCATTGTTTTCACTGTCTGCCGGAATCGGCCAACAAGAGTTCGAAAATTACGTAGAGCTCATAGAGATGCAGTTTTAATTTGTGTAATGTTCTCAAACACCAAAAGTTGCTCTACTCACCATTTTCATAGCGTTTTGTAAGTACGGCCCATGCGCATTTATACTTTCTGAAGGTTTCATAGTTAGACTTGAATTTAGTTGTGTGGCACTTACTGGGACTTACTGAATCCACTCAACTTGCCTTCGTGAACTTATTCACGACAAACGTTTTGATGGCTAAGGAACTCAGCTCACAATAACTTACGATTAGAGTGCAAACAGATGATTCGGAAGGAGTAGCAGTCCTAAATGCATCCATGTCAGTGGCTGATTGCGATGTGGTGTTCAAACTCGACTGGCACCAGGACGATGCCAAGTCGTACAACAAAAGTAGCTATGGCAGAATTAGTGCTGATTTGAAATATGTTTCATCGATTGAGATGGTTGGGACACGTACTACGTGTGCCCAGTCACCGATTGCCTCGTCACACAATGTTGGCCGAAGTAGGTCCAGGCTGGAGAATGGCCCGAGGTGGCCAGACTAAAACATGGCACCAATGTATGAAGTCTCTGACTGTTGGTTTAGGCCATGTAGGGCGATGCAGACTAGGTGGTTGAGGTCGGCGGGAGAAGAGGAACTAGTGGTTGGAGACTGACTCTAGGTGAAGGCATGGCTGAGAAGCGATGTGAGTGGCGTAGATGTATTCCCACACACATTATCATCATCTTAACTACGCCATACCGAATCTCACCATTTTGTCATTCCTCTTTCTTTCTCCTCGTACTTAATCTTTCTTTTGACTGAATTTTCTTATCTTCATGTTGAACCGTACTACCTTTTTACTTGATGTAGTGATATGAGATGAGGTGTGGCAACTCGGACTGTTACTCAGTAATGTCTGGTCCTATGTTGATATTGATTGATTGAAATAGGTTGTGAACGTCATAAAGCTGCAGAGTATTTTCAATTTCTGTTTTCGCCTAAGGTAATGGACTAATGATTTGTATCATACCGTTTTAGCTGTTACTCAACTTTTTGTTACATTTCTCGTGCACGAGGTCGCGAAACATCAGAAATTTATTTTTCTACCTCAATGGGATTTTATCAGTGTATATTCCCTTTAAAACCAATTTACCCAATACTCAACTTATTTAATTCTATCCAGTATAATTTTAGTCGTACAGATGGTCTATAAGAGTCTGACGCCCATCTGTATCAATATGTTTTCAATGAGTCAGTGCTTTACTCTAAAATATGATTTACATATGTTAGAAATATAATCTAATGTGTTTTGATCATCAACTGTCTTGTGCTCTGAGTCAAGTAAGCATGTTTGGTGTCATGTGTATCAAAGTGTCACTAGTATTAGCTGAGCAAAATATTTTATTTGCATTATTATAACATTTTCTACTCACGTTTATATGTGATGTAAATTTTAATGTCATAAATTGTCACCTATTAAAATTCTTCGTCATATTTTTATGAAATTGATTGGTAAATT